CAGACTACCCAATCGTTGCCCGAGGATTTCGATGTCCCGTTCGATGATCGGATCACGTTGAAGAGCAGCGTCGATGTCTGGTATCAGCCTTGTCAGTTGGCTTCGTAGGGCCTTCTGTTTCAGTTTCAGACGATCCATGAGTAGTCGTCAGCCGTGGCTTGAATGGAACGTATCAGTAGTCCTGCGTTAGTTGCTGAAGATTCGGTAGTTCCCTCGTCCAGGTTCCTCTCGTTGCGTCTCGTTCCCGGGTTTCGGCACCATATAGAAGAACTTCTGGACGTTATGGTGTTTAAATCGATAGCAACTTTATGTACACTATTTACAGTCAGAAAAGGGACATCGAAGCTAGGCAGAAACGGTTGTAGCCGGCTCGTTCCCCCGCTGCTCGTGCTCATCTGGTGGTGCTCGAGCCTTGGCTTGTTCAGTCCGCTGTTTTGTCGTCTTCTAGACCGCCGTGGAAGTTTTTACAAAAGTGTTTTGAGGTACTCAATTTTCTTACCATAATATTGCTTTAATATAGAATAGATGTTAGAAAGCCGGTTAAAGAAAAGAAAATATGGCGCAGCCAGGATTTGAATTTCAAATTTTATCACTAGCGTTGAGGTGTGCTAACATCTTTGCCACCAAGTCTTGTTTTTTCTTAGTGACGCCTACAACGCCGGACGCTGACCTGAGTCGTCAACGCAGACAAGAGGGGTCCAGTAGCGGGGTGTGTTTGGCGTTCCTATTGAGACATGGCGCTAACTCCTTATCGATATCACCGTGGTTTATTCAAATGAATATAATCTTTTGAAATGTACCTTCGATTAAAAAATAAATGCAAACAATAAAAATAAAACAATTGCGCCTGCATAACGGCGGCGCTTTTGCCGCCACCGGATTTCCTCTGCTTTCTTTCGCTGGTAGGCTCCACCTTCAGACGCTGCTCCCCACGCCATCTATCAATACGAACGCCAAACACACCCCGCTACTCGACTTGGTCGTCTGGGTCGTCGCCTGTCATAGACCCTGGCAGGTTTCTTGGCCCTATTTAATACTAAAAGAGAACTACGCTTTGTGATTTTACAAGAAAAGAACGATCTGTGAAATACACCTTTGACGAAAAGTTAAGATTGCTACGTGCAGGCGTCGATTTTTACGGTCCATTTTAGATCGAGCCTGGTGACTTGAACCACCCTATAAACGGCATCATCATCTGAGAGGGCGAAGGGCAACATGGTCGGAGGCACTTTATTGTTTTAGAGCGCAGCTCTCAGGTGCCCATTTTCGGGTTTCGCGACGTCGACGTAACCGCGCTAAATTTAGCGGGGAAATTCACTTTTTCCGTAAAATTTAGATGACAAATTCAGTTTCTCCCTTAGATTCGATTACAGCGAGGAATTGAATAGGCGTTAAGGCCACGTGGCGTCAATTTTCCCGCTAAATCTAGGGGAGAAACTGAATTTGTTCATGGGTGACGTGACAGAATGTCATGCGACGTCATTTCCCCGTTGAATTTAGCGGGGAAACCGAATGAAAGGAGGAGCGGCAGAAGGGGGAGAACGGTACGGAGAAGGAGGAGAGAAGGAAGAGAGGGCACGGGGGAGGAAGAAGGGAATACCCTCTCCTCCGCACCCTCCCCTCTTCGTCCACAAAAGTTGCGCTCTAATTTCGCATTGCAGAGGTTTTTAAACTTTTTTTTTTCTGGTTTCTAAAGAGAAAATAGAATCCCGGAGTTTCGATCCTGGTCTCGCCAAACTTTGTCTTTCGGCGGCTTACTCTGTATGTCAAATCCCTCGTTTACTTGCCACCCCAATGTAGGCATTGACTTTTTTAAGCTCAGAATATATAAATATATTGAAATTCAAATTAGCTTAACCTTGAGAAGAACATTCACGAGTTCAGTTGGCTTTTCGTTTAAGCATAGGGCAATAGTAGTAAAGGGCTCAGAAAAAAGCTATTCCATATTCGACTCAAAATATTCCTTCAAAATTTATCTTGAGCTTGTCGCGGAAACATGCTATCACAATAACATACTTGACAATTCGATTAATTACCCAAGCACCAAAATAATGCTGGGTACGTGTGTACATGGGTTGCACGGGCTCGCCTTCTCTAAGTAAAAGATGCGAAGGAAATACCCCAAATAAGGCGTTAGAGGAATGTGCGTACGAAGTACCACTTGTTTTAGATAGTTGCTTTCGAACAGTTAGTTGCTGCTGTAGACTCCAGCAAGTGCAGCGCGTGTACCTACGTTCCTGGCGTTCTCTTTGATGCCTGGGTGATTTGACAGAAGGTATGTTAAAGACGCGAAGCTCTAAAAGGAAAGTGCGAAGTAATTTCGTTGTTTTCTGAAAGTATACACACTTCAAATTACTTTCCTACAATTGAAGTCGTGCTTGTTGTTGGCGACTTTCGGAGATATGTAAGATTTTTTTTAGATTGCAAATATCTCATGTTTGCTATGTAACTTATCCAATTATGAGAGCAATAGTCCCTCCTCCAGTTGTGCGTCTTACTTAAGCGGGCCAGTAGTTTTATATTTCTAGTCTTATTTAGAAAGAAACTTTATCCTTTTCAATAAGCTTTTTACTTTCCGTGTGTTACTTTTCGATAAGTAATTTTGTAGTCGTTCATCCTTTGAACGTACGATTACAAGATTTTGGAACCAAATTATTTAGATTTCTTCCTTTAAAACTTCTGCAGTAATGTATTCCAGTAGGGTATAAAAGTATGTTCCACACAGACCAATAATTTAGACTGGTCTTGAGAGTAATCAATGTCATTATCATAGCCGACATATACCGAAACCTCTATACAGTCATCAACAAAAATCATTAAGAAATTCGAGGAGCCATTTCCTTACCCGCCATCAGTTTCTCGGCTTCCTAACATTACAAGAAAACTCAAATACTTACCAAATACCTTTGTCACTGAATACTAAACCTGATACATAGCAAAAATAAACTAACGAAAATGTACCCACACCATCTGAAACCGAGGAACTAATTTCTTTATTTGTAGATTTTGAGTCTCTCCCTGTGCATTATTTCATTTTTGCATCGCCTTGGGTTTTAAGCTATAGAAGTCATTAACAGGCTTACCTGCGTTTCTGTAAGTCTTTCGAGCGTTTTATTTTTCGAGTATGGTATTTTTACACAGTGCTGAATTTTGTCATAGTGCTTTCGGTTGCACTATAGATATGCGATTCTTATGGAACTGTGCCTGTCTCGTGTCCGGTTCAGTGTCGTGGAGGTGGTAAGTAGCTATTCGCAGCTCCAAAAGAACAAACACTCAGAGCGCTCTTAATTTCTTAAATTAATCACGTGATCTTTGCCATTAAATTGAAAAGGGTGGATGTTTAACCCAGCCCGAACATCACCCAGAGTGTTATCACATTTACCTCACTAGACAAATGATCTGATTTTTTTAGTGCAATGAGAAGTGACAAAATTAGTTTGTTAATTTCCAGATTCCTGAAAGCTAGATAAAAATATTCTAGCGGTGGATATTACCTGAAGAGCAGCACCGATTTGCTTTGCAATAAAAATATATAATAGAGAAAGTGACACCCTCACATGCTGAAACAGAAAAACTTGAGTATATGTCAGAGTATCGGGCTAACCACCAAATTTAGTTCAAAATAGAACTTCAACTCTGTCAAATTCAAAACTTAACCCTCATTATTTTTACCTCTCCTGCAATATATTTTATTGCAGGAGAGTAAAATAAAAAGTGCTGTATAGTGTTTTAACATTTAAAATATTTTCATCACAATTCCTAATTATAATCTACGTGTTTAATTCCCATCCTAGACTAACAAAGAGCGCACCCGGGTTAAGACACAAGATTTGATTTAAATAATCACAGGCGGAACCCAATGAACTTTAGGTTCATGCCAGAATAAGGGTTTTCAATTAGCCACCCGGTTCAAAAATGTGCACCAGGAACACGGGGGTTTGCAAGCCGGGATACTTAATTGGATCCATTGTTACTGCTAGACGTTTGGCTTGAAAGTAATAATGGATATATACGCAAACTGACTATGCACGTGAGGTATCTGCGGTAGTTAGCATGCTAACGGCGCAAATCGTCGCTTAGTTGTGGAGGGGCATGAAAAGAAATGAATGGAAAAGGAGGATCGGGTTTAATTTGGAAAACCTGATCACCTTTCATGTGCCAGAAGAACCTCGGTTGCACCGCTTCGACATAAAAGCACATATACAATTGTATTACCTGTTCGTCTTTTTATAAACACTCTTTTATTTCAATCTGCGATTCATGTAGATATGAGACGTACATAAATACATGCAAAAATAAGTTTACTTAAATCTAAAATTGAACGCAACTCGTGCTTCCTAGCCAACTGGTGGCCGCTGAAAGTATCCGCCGGGTCCGGGATTCGATTCCAGGAGCTCTCCAAGAGCAGCCAAACGCTCTACTGACTAAGCCAACCATGAGGCAGCCGTCAGTGAAGCAAACGAACGCAAACAGTGATTATCAGTCTTAATAATAACCACAACATCAGTAAGATATGGCGTTAATAATTTGATATCATGCATTTAGGAAAAAATAACACCACATCATGTTGACAAATTCACTTCTACCTAAAATAGAACCCAACTTGCGCTTTCTAGGAACTAATGGCTGATGGCCAGCAGTCGACTAGAGGGTCTGAGTTGTGCTCCATTTCAGTAGGAAGTACATTTTTTTGCTTAAATCTTTCCAATTAGAAAACCTCACTTAAAATCGTTATGCAGATATCTAGGAAAATATCCTTTAGAGTGGCACCTTCTAAATTGATGCACAAAAAAAAAGTTACGAAATAAGAACCCCAGCATAAACATTTAGGTAGTTTTCTTCCCAGGTTTGCTACGTTTTGCATACCGTTGGTAGCGACATAATGGGTGGTGCTGGCACTACAACCTATTGTACATAATCGATACAGCTGGCGAGGGATACCAATGTGAAAACTCCTAAATTGGTTGTAGCTTATATGTTTTAAGGCTCAAAGCTCTTACCGCGTCTTCAAGGGTCGGCTTTGTCTCATTCAGGAAAGCAATGAGCGTTGCTGCTGGTACCACGGAACCTGAAAAAAAAAAAATAGTGGTTTCTTGAATTAGGAATGTAAAGGGCAGAGGGAACGGTCGCATTGGAGGACGTTGGTTTATTCAACTTTTCTCATTTCTTTGGTATCTTAGGTGACCTGAATGTGGACTTATTCTGCATCGAACAGCATTTTAAGTACAAGTTTCCCAACCCAGGTCCTTGAGACTTTTTTTTTTACCTGGAGGGCATTTAAGAGCGAAGAGCCAGCCACACGCGAATATTGTCTTTCTTATGGGAGCACTATGCTAGCGGTATCCAGACAACGGCTTGGTGCAGGAGTTTTCAATAGTACAGCCCAAACATGGAAGGCCGCTCGCTCAAGGTCAAAATGAAGGCTGGAAAATGTACACCGCAGTAACTTCACCGGTTAGGCAATCTGCACTTACCGCCATCTCCTTGCACCAAGGTGGATGGGTCCACAGTATGTACTTTCTCTACTAGAGTTATATTAAAACAATCGGAAACACTGCGTAGCCACTGATCGCCGTTACCAATATTCAGAAAATGTTATCACCGGTGTACCACAGGCTAGTATATTTTGAACGATATTCATCTAGCTGTGCTTGTTCGTTGTCCCCCTTGCTCCCCTTCTCCAGGGAGTGTTTGCAGATTTACGACATTTTTCTACACTTTCTACCACACGAAAAAAGACTATTTGGATTTTCGGTTTCCTTTGTTTTTAAAAACACCAAGTTAAATTTATTCTTCAGTCCGGCTTACTAATCCATCTATTTCAGTGGTTAGTTTCTCAGAAATACGGCTATCCTTCAAGTAATACTTAATATTTTGACTCCTCTATTGTTTTAATTTAAAGGTACCATCACCGATAGTGCAAGCGAAAGTCGTTCATGATCTCTTGGCACACTTGTCAGTTTTTGAAGCAGCTTTTGTTAGACTATACCTGGGATGCTAATTTTAATGCCGATTCTTTAGCTGTTCGATGAATGCTCAAGAGGCGGCTCAAATCGATATCTTCATTGCACAGAAAAACAAAATCAGTGCTCACATCGCAAACATGTTATTTGTAAGTAAAACACCGAGGTTTTGGAAGGCATCATCTAAATCAGAACTAATTATAGGTACGAACAAGCAACTTCCCAAATCGTTAAATAAAATAAAGAGCGAATAAAATTCCAGCTTTAATTTCACAGTTTTTAGAAAAACGTGAAAGACTTTTGGTGGTGAATGATATCTTAGTAGGCCACAACGCAAAAGATGACTCACACACTCAAACAACACGCACACAATCAAGAAAGAACCTCTCACGTCGCGCTGAGTGTGAACTCTGTTTTGTATATTGTTTTCCTCATTCACACCAATAAAAATATAAAAAGCTGTCAAACTCTTAATCAAAAAATAGTTAGGGCGCAGGCGAGCTGATGTAGGTTTACCATTTTTAGACCACCTTTTTAGTCTCAGTCTCAGGTGGCCTCAAAAAATGTCAAACTCTTATTTTACGTGCTATTTCGTCCTCTTCTGAGCGACTTCAAAGTCGAGCTCACATGTAGCATTTCAGCAGAGTCTAGATATAAGAACTCCTAAAAAGGTATATAGAAGGATTCCTAGCACATGCGGCACTCTGGCTGTGTTCCAAAATTTACTTGATCCGATTTCGGAGTAAAACTTCCGTGCCGTGGCATTTCAAAAGTTGCTCGTCGATACTCGATGACGTCAGAACTCGCGTTCTAGGAGCGGCTTGTTTAGTCCGGAGTAATTACTCACGCCACCCTCTTCGATCGGTGGGTAACGTCGGATCCAATCGAGTAAATATCTCACGTGATCTGTTCGCCGTGTGCTCCTCGTCTGCTTTTGGCGGCGGCAACGGTCAAAGCTCATTTGTTCTTTGGTTTTGGTGGCAGAAGTTCGAAATTACAAAGAATGAAGTGCAGCCATTTCTGTGTGGTTATTCCAAATCGCTGTTTTGAACGGAAGAATTGGCTGTGCACCGCATCCAGACAGTGCACCTTCCCCGCGAAGGTATACCAGTTGTTGTTATCAGAGAGCGAGCGTAAGCAGAGCTTCTCCGCGTCCTCGTCCTTGGAGTTGGAGGGAACTCCGTACTCTTCCGTTCAAGGCTGAAAATGTTCGAACGCAGTAGATGATGTGGAAGTATTTTATCCTAGAGTATGTGCAGTGAGACGATAACGCTTGTAAAGCAGTGATGGCTTCGAAGATTTCATGTCTATAATCAGTCAACAACCCCCCCCCCCCCCCCCCAATCTTCGTCTCCAAGAAATTGCCTATAACGGTTTGGAAGTTCTCTTTGCAATTTTCTAATCATATTCCGGTCCAAGTGAACATAAATAAGTTAAATATCACTGTTGAGAAAGCCCACTGCGCTCTACGGCTACACCGTGTGGAAGCAATTTCTGCAAAACGTATTTTGTGCAATTTACGATGCGTAAAGTGTATGCGTTTAAGGCACCTAAACTTACAGCAATCACACTGATTAGTAAAAACTAATTTTTGATGTCTAACTGGAAAGAGTAAGTAATTTTGATCTTGTTATACAGCCCAATAGAAGGTGAGCAGAAGGAGCTGGTGGAGCCACCAAAGAAAAAACCGCGTCGTCACTGTCAAAGAAAAACCTGGAAGCGGTTAACATTATCGTATCTTCGACTACTTTCACCATGAACAAAAGAGATCGTCTGCTGCTTTCTGCCATCGCTGCTATGTTTCATTTTTCCCGTAGCCCCAGACGAAGCCTATCGGCGTAGTATCCAGGTGATGATCCCGGCCGTTCCAAAATCGAGCCGGGGATCGTTTGCTCGCGATGTCACGTAAAATTATCCGCCCACGTGGAAGACAGGTTACTCGGGTAAAATTTGGAACATAGCCTCTGCTTCACAATACTACAGGGTGATTCAAGGAGACGCCAGGCTCTTTAAATCGACCGCGAAATTCGGTTTCTTAACCTATCACGCTACGACGTTGTGCAGCGTTGCCCACAGATGGTGAATTTTTTTTTTTTTTTGTAAAATTTGCAAAGAGCGAATTTACCTGAAAAAAAGTAAAAAAAAAGAAAAAGGCTTAGCTCCTAGGGAAATGCAGCGGCGCCACCGGTCTTCAAACAACACGGCGCCGTTTCGCACGGGAGACAAGAGATGGCGCAACGAACGCCACCAACGAACGAGCGTACGGCGCCGAGAGCCGGCGTTTTTAGCAGAGAGTCTTTTCGACTCAAAAGCGGCGCACGTTCTGCAGGCGGCGACAGTCGCAGAAACAAAAACAGACGCGGTAACAACAAGGAAGTGCAGTTGCTTGTCTGCTAAAGACGCCGGCCCTCAGAGTCGTATGCTCGTTCGTTGGCGGCAGTTGGCGTCCCGACCGCTTGCGCCATCTCTTGTCTCCCGTGCGAAACGGCGCCGTGCTGTTTGAAGACGGGTAGCTTCGCTGCATTTCCAAAGGAGCTAAGCCTTTTTCTTTCTTTTGTTTTTCCTCAGGTAAGTTCGCTCTTTGCAAATTTTTCAAAAAAAGAAATTCACCATCTGTGGGCAACGCTGCACAAAGTCGTAGCGTGATAGGTTAAGAAACCGAATTCTGAGGTCGATTCAAAGAGCCTGGCGTCTCCTTGAATCACCCTGTAGATCCTAAGTCATGAGTATGGCGTGACATCGTAGCGTTGGCGCACTTACCTTCCTCTATATTTACATGTTAGTTACTTAGATCATTGCGCTATGTGTCGCTCGAGCGGCTTTTGTTCGTTTATGGTGTCATGCCCCTTTAAAAACCAAAGTGTTAGAAAGCATCATTCCGCTTTTTCGTGTCTTTTTTTCCCATTGTCTCTCGCAAATACGGCTTCTAGTGGCATGTGACATTGAATTGAACCCTGGTCCGGATACCTGAAGTGCCGATGTTCAAACAACAGTCTTAGCAACTGTGCAAAGAATTGAAGAAGGCCAGACAAATCCTCTCTGAAATGGAACTACTAAGAGATACACAGAAAAGCACGGATTCAAAACTGGTGCACTTATCAGGTAGGGTAACTGCTATCGAAGTCGAGCTTACAGAATGCAAAGCCCCCCGCCCCCCCCCCCCCCCCCCCCCCCCCCCAGATTTACTGCTGTGGCTGTTTCATCACTCGAATCCAAAATTAATCATGAGCACTTTAGATGCTATGACACAGAAAACCAACTTCGTCGTTGTTTTCTTCTTTTTTGCGACATCACAGATTCGGAAAACAAAAAGTGGGCTATGGCTGAGGCTAAAGTTTTAGGATTCTGCACACAAACTCTTCAGCAGACCAGATGTCCCGACTGTGTCAAACGTGCTCATCGTCTGGGACGGTCGTCAACGGGAAAAAGTCGGCCAATTATAGAGAAGCTTTCTAGATTCAAATATAAAGACCGCAGCCTAATGTCTGGTTCGTTGCTTAAAGGGACGCATATTGCTGTGGGAGAAGACTTTTCCTTGGAAGTTAGCCTTTCTAGAAGGAAGCTTCTCAATTTGGCAAAGGAAAGAAATGCTTTACAAGCTGTCGTTCAACAAACTAAATGCAAACAACAATATATTTGTTTTGTGATCCTCTGTCAGATAATGCGGAAGCGCTGACAGCATTGCTAAGATTAAAGCAGGAGTTGAAGCCTGCCTCGTATAACCAAGCCCTATCAAGGATTTCGGTCAATAACTATCCTCTTTTAGTTCTGTTTAATAATGTCCGAAGTGTGATTCTCGAACATGAGGCACTTTCTTCCTATGTGTATGACAACGAGACTGACATTGTCATCTTGACAGAAACCTGGCTCAAACCTGGTCTACTTGATAGGGAAATATTCGAGTCCGTGCTTAGTTTTACCTTAAGTCCAGACGCAACTGACGCTACGTGCTAATAGGACCAACCAGACAACGTCAAAAGAGCATCGTCATGGTGTTTGTCATGTTTATTTACGTGTTCTATCATCGCTGGGCTAATCATGTACGGGGAAGTCTAGTGACTTGCTCTTTTGACGGTCTTTGATTGGTTCCATTTAGCTCAAAGCGTCGGCTGCTGGAGGTATAGTGCGATCTTCGACATTTATCGCCAAAATAAAGAAAACAGAAGGGGAGGTGGTATTTTAATCGCCGTCAAAAAATATATTCCTTCATTCATGATGCAAATTAATAAGAATCGAAATGTTATAAATCTGTCTGCTTACTTCATTAAAAGAAAGTATACTCGGTGTCTGGCATCGACCACCCTACAGTGACTCATCATTCTGTGATTTATTTCATGGTAACTTAAACCTTATTCATCCTGACTATCCGAATGCTGACTTTTTTTGCGATTTTAAGTTTCCATTTATTAATTGGTCATCACTTTCATCCCAAGATAAAACTGAAACAAATTTCCTGGATACATACCTAAACGTCAACCTCACGCAAATATTATCCGCTAGAACATCCGGTAACAATATTTCGAATTTAGTGTTATCATCTGCACCCGATTTTTTTAAATGCTGCACCATACAGTGATGACTTCAGTGATCCCAAGCTTGTTAATATAAAACTAGACCTATATACCTTACAGATACGACATACTGTTACATTGATAAAAGATTACAGCAAAGCTGCAGCTACGGTTTAATTAAAAAGAAACTTCTGCTCTTTCCTCTGCGTTTATTGCCGACTTCAATAATCGCACCGGAGAAAGTTATTGGAATACAATCAATCCGTTCCTACATCAACCAACCTTGGTTTAATAAAACACTAAAAGCACTCTGTAATAAAAGGAACGACTCTTTCACAAAGCTAAACAATCCAGGTGTGATGAAATCTGGCCGAAGTACTCTAGCTGCGAAAAAGAATATACTAGTTGTCTAGCAGATTCAAAGACAAAGTAAATTAATTGTGAATTGCCTGTTGTACTTATAAACAACCCCTAAAATTCTGCAAAAATCTATCATCGAACGAGTCTAATAGCAAAATAGTCATGATCAGCGGCACTGGCCAACCCGCATTCGATGCCCAGTTGCCCAACGGTCCTTAATAACTTTTTCACGTCTGTTTTCACAACTGAGGACCTAAGCAGCATTCCGTATGGGCCAGAGGTAGGGTACTGTTTTATGGAACGCATTTAAATCTCGCCCGCAGAAATCCTTAAACTAATCAATAACTTAAAATTTTCAACGTCTTCTGGCCCTGATGATACTTACTCTAAAATATTTTCTAGATGCTGCTAATACGGCATAAGATATACTATGCTTACTTTTTAAACAAACATTACCTACTAGATCTATTCCTCTTGATTGGAAGATTCGGAAGATTGTTCCAGCTTTTAAAAGGGGCGACGAAAGCTCACTTATAATTACCGTCTATATCATTACCGAGTGTTGCCTCAAAAATACTACAACATGTTATATATTTCACTGTCATCTGCCATCTTGAAAACTAGTTCTTTACGATTACCATTATGGATTACGCAGAGGGTTCTCATGTGACCACCAGCTCCTCGAATTCACGCACGATATATATAACAACATAACACAAAACCCCCAGAAAGATGTCTTTGTTTAACTTTTCCAAAGCGTTAGACAACATGCAACATTGCTGTCTAATATATAAGCCTTCCTCACTCCGCATCGACGGTCTGACCCTTCCCCGATTCGGAACTTCCTTTCCCTCAGAGAGCAGGCCTCCGTAGCCGGTGATCCGCTTTTTCATTTTCTGCTGTAACCTCTGTGGTTCCGCAAGGCGCTGTCCTCGGCCACCCCCTATTCCTAATCTACAGTAACGACCTCCCACAGTCACTAACATCAGGTATGCGTCTATTTGCCGTGGACTGTGCAATACAAAAAGGTGAACAATCCTGACGATCACCTGCGTCTTCAAAGCGATGTTGACCAAGTAGTACACTGGAGCTCTAAATGGCAAATGACTCTTAACACTGCAAAATGTAAACTTGTTTCACTCACCCGTAAACAATCTAACTCAGACTTTACATATTCACTTTATGATTCGCGCATCGCGGCTGTTTATGCTTACCGGTACCTTGATGTTGAACTAACCTCAAGCCTTTTTCGGGTACCCCATACTATCAGGATTACCGCTAAAGGATACTGTACACTAGGTTACTTGAAGCGCCATCTAAAATCTGCACCCCCTCGGCTTTGCAAATTATCTTACGAAACACATGTCCGCCCGAAATTAAAATATACATCCGCATCTAGTACCCTCATGAGACCTACCTTGTTAATCAAATCGAATCTGCTCAATATCGAGCTGCTCGTTTCATTTCATCATTATACTCGCGTTTCGACAGCAGATCATTAATAAAACAAAATTATCCGATTTTCTTGCTGGAACCCGCCGTACAATTTCTCCTCCATGCTTAATCCACGGACTAGGCTATAGCCACGCTGGTACTTACTTCTTTCTTCTAGAACCGCATAATAAATAATAACGAACCTTTAACACTATGAGCTTCAAGCGTATTTTTGGGACAATATTAGCATTCAACAATTCTGCCTTATTACGTGCCACCAAACTGTAGAACGATCTTCCCGAAGCCATATGGTGTCTATTTCTGATCATAAAATTTTTCGGTTAGAATTAACAACCTTTATTTTAGCATAAAAAACCTGTCAGATTCTGGTTTTTTTTTCGGTTAGAAATAACAATCTTTATTTTACCATCAAGAACTTGTCAGATCCTGTTTTTTATGTTCTGTGTTTACAACATTTGAGATAATACTGTGTATATGCGTGTTTCGTTTCTAAATTTACGTGTCTCGCATAATACCTACTTCTGTAATAACTATTACTTATATTGGTGCCAGTGATATTGTACTCATGTCAATATGCAGCGCGGTATGAGCCGTACCTTTTACATCGAAGCTCTTATGGCTAGGGTTCCGTGGATTTTCCTGTGCAGGTTTTTCGCGCCACCACACGCGCCGCGCGCGCACGGTTTCTCCGTATAAAAGATTCGATGTAAATTACTAAAAGAAAGCGTGGACGAACGCGCGTGCAAGACACCATTTATTTTAGGCTTTTGCTTTAGAACAGTTACTGCTGCAGAAGCCGGCACGTGCGGCGCGTGGAACACCACTCCCTGCATTCTCCTTGATGCATGGGTAATTTAGCAATAGATCTATTTCACTTCTCTGGTCGTAATGGGGCGGCCGCGTATAGTGGGGACTCCGGAAGAGGAACGCGCCTGCGAAGAGGAACGGCGGGAACGGCACCGAGAGTGTCAGCGGCGGCCGCGGGCGGCAAACACCACCGATGAAGGTCGTGCACAAAACGCCAAGAGCATCATGGAAACCAGACAAGACGACGACCGTCGCGGGGCGGAGAACGCAAAAAAAAAAATATATATATATATATATATATATATATGTGTGTGTGTGTGTGTGTCAGGTATCTGTCGTGTACTAAACAGCTTCGCAGCCCTTCCACCTTCACAGAGTGGCATGGCTCGAGATTTTTTTTTCCATGTTTTATCAACTGTATCGCCCCCTTCATGTAATACCGAAAGGTCTTTGAGGTATTTTGAATAAATGCATAAATAAATATATAAATAAATCGCCAACTCGTCCAAGCCTTGGTAAGTTTTTTTTCTAGTTTATTGCATCACACTTTCCGAGAAGAAGTTCTTATGCCTATACTTTACTCCAAAGTGACATATGCGTTGGACTCTGATATAGTTTAGAAAAGGACGAAATAGAAGGCAGAATAAGAGTTGTCTTACTTAACAGCAGAACGAAAACAACGAAGTGTGAAGATTTTTGTTCCTCTTTTTTTTTTAACGGTGTAAAGGAAGAAGACAAAATACAAACCAGACATGATAGCGCGACGTGAGAGGTTCCTTCATGACGGTGTGTGTGCGGTCTGAGTGAGTTATCTTTTGCGCTGTTGCCTTTAAATTATGACTTTTTAACTCGACAAAGCCTCCATCTTCAGAAATTCATTATTTAGTTTTTTGGAGCAAAAATATACGAATGTGTGAAAACATATTCCCGTAAAACTACTCATACAAAAGAATCAACTTCATCAAGTTGTGTTTTTTTTTTTTTTTTAAACTGGCATGCATTAAAAACTTTGTAAGGCATTAAGGGCCTCGTCAAGCTTTGTGGCTTTTAGACCCTGCTTCCCATTCGAATGTACTTTCAAAACAGAGTGCGAGTCGTTAATCGCATCCTTTTGTCGCATTTAGAAACCAGGACACAAGAGCAACGCTAATCCTGAGGGCCACACTTGACGCAAGGATTGCAGGACCCGGATATGCTCTCGACGATGCGTGGCCGCCCTTCCTTACCCCTCGTATGGTTCATCACGAAGAAGGAGATGAGATCCATGCCGTGCTCATTGGCCACAAACACAATTGTGGTGATGCCCAGAGGAATCCCCTTCCGCTGCAGTGAGAAGACATCAATCAAAAAAGATCAACACACACAAAAAAAATTATAGCAACCCAGTAGATCTGACAAAATTTCGGAATCTACAGGGATGCAAGAATATATACTTTCTTTATAATTTAAAAGAATCCGTTGTTATAGTTTAATAGTTGTCGCTCTCCTCGATGTGCAAGATTTTAAAGGAAGATCCGGCGTCAATTTTAACGTTTTGCACTAAACATTTCTTAAAGAGCACGAGAAAGTGAGCCTAAAGCAGCAAATAAATTTCCTACGAACTCTTTAAATAATATCTAAACGTAAAATGCGATAAACCCAAGGCCAACACTGACTTGCAACTATACATTCTACCATATTGTCGTGACGTCAGATGTTGTATCAGCATCCACACACGGGTAGCTTGCACCTGTTTCATCAATCGTAAGAAGCAGTCAGAAGGCTGTCCCGATCGTCGGTGGGAAATAAGGGATTATGATTCGAGAAGCTTATCTTAGTCAGAAATGACCAGCAAAGCTTTCAAGATTTTGTGCACAAGGCTTCAGACGTTTCGCCGTTTGCATTTAATCCGCCGGCATCACCTCCGAGGGGGTCACCGATGGTGGCCATTTTTACAATCCTGCGACATGTGGACCTAGATGCCGCTTTAGAAACAAGCTTGTATGAACGGTTTTGTTGTCTAGCACAGTGCGAACTGTTTTCCAACATGTCACAAACGCCGGGAGTCAGCGCTCGCGTCGGGCTGCTTAGACCCATTTCCCTCGCAGTGACTTCTCGGTCGGAAACCAATGAGTTGTCACTCTTCTGCGTTTCTTAGTGGTGTTACTCCACCCCGCAGCACGGCACCAATCTCCCGCACTAGCTATTGAACACAGCAAATCGCCTAAACCAAAAACAATCCGGAGAACCACAGACCGTCACAATCACTACAACGGTCAACGGCGAAGAGAAGGGAACGTCTTCTTTTGGATACAACACCTGAAGTCAGGAGCGATCACGGCGCCGCCGCTGCTCGTTGTTTAGAGTAGAGCGGAAGCCGGAGGTTCGGAGGTGTACGCGGAAACTTTGAAAAAAATATTTTTCGCCAGAGAAAAAGTATATTTTGATTAGATATTTGGTAGATGTATTATTAGTGCATAGTAATACTTTGATCAAAACGTATGACCATAAATATTTTGCCGGAGTTTCACTTTAATTGAGGAGAACACATAAAGGTGCTGTGCCATTAAAATTTAAGTTTAAAAATGTCATCAGTCTGTTAATATCATCGTAGCTTCTTCATTTTTGTACTAAGGAGTATTTCACTCTTGAAAAATTTAGGAACACAGCGTATTACCCAAGTAGCACTGAATGTTGCCACAACGTTTCTAGAATGTTATCGGCTAACGGTGAAAATATGTGGATCATGGTCAAAATTATCCGTATCACTAGAACGTTATTTGGAAACATGGCAAGTAAAATCTTGAAACAACAAAAAGTAGAAGAGGCATGGAAAGGAAGTCAGTCAAACGACGTCTCAAGCACAGCTAATACGTTTATTCAGTAAACGTCCTATATACATTCTGGAACCGAGGTCGTCACCAACCAACAAAACAAAGAAAACATTTCTTTAACTCTGCAGCCACCATTGTACACACTTATGACACGCCACTACTTTGAGCGGCCACTCTACCTTCGAACAGCTCACACTCCTGGGAACCTCCAAACAGCACGGAACTAATTTGATGGCCAAACCCATCGAACTGATACGAAACACTCAACGAGAACAAAAGACACGTTGCCCTACATGCTATTTGTAGCCTTAACACTGAAACCTTCCTTTTAACAAAATTGTTGCACTGATGCACCAGACAAAAAAGGACACAGACACACACACACAGGGTAAGACCAAAATAGTTACAAACGCAGGAACGCTTTGGTACTGTCAGCAAGTTGCATTGATGCCTGGCTTATACAGTTGGCTATTGACTTAATTCGAACTGTTTTTTTACAACTCTTTTGACATCATTAGCCTCTTTCTGCACTGCTTCTTTCTCCGACCACTGTAGCGTGCAGTTGTTGCATTCCTGTATATGTGTTGCTATTTCAGAATTGGCCCCTTTGGTTTTTACGTTCCTTTTATGCCCAGTTGACACAAACACCCTGTTTGAAGGTAGAGTGACCGCTCAAGGTCACGGCGTGCCTTAAGTGTGTACAATGGTGGCTGCGGCGTTTAAAATGATTTCTTTGTTGTGTTGGTTGGTAACAACCTCGGGTTGGGACCTATATAAGAGGTTTACTGAATAAACGTATTAGCTGTGTTTGAGATGTCGTCTGACTGACTTCTTTCCCTGTTTCTTCTCCTTTTGGTTGTTTCAAGATTGTTTTCACCCAGTCTTAGGTGTTTTAACAAAATTGTAAAATCACAACAGATATGTACTCCATGTTACGGTAACGCGAAAGTACAGCATTTCAATCCCTGGTGGAAAAAAAGAGCTGGAATATATTTGAAAGCAGAAAGTGAGATCAAAATGAGAACTATTTTGATGCGAATTAAATATGCATGAACGAGAAACTATGAACGAGCAGCTATGATTTCCTTCAGCAACGCCCAATTTACATACAAAATATCAGCAGTAGCCAACTAAGCACAAACATATATTCTGAACACTTATCTCTAAAGTGAGGAGGTTTTTCCTGCATAATTTAAGGTAATACAGATAAATATACATTTAATTGAAAGGCAATGTATTTGTTGTTTTATGTTGCTCTCTACTCAGCAGCATATTTCTTGAAGTGGATATATACACTGTAAAATCAGAGGAAATAACCAGCGTGGGCTTAAGGCTCGTTCACACACTTGCGACCTCTTAAAACCGGGGTGCCTTGGAACTTCTTAATATCTCTTACAACAAGAGGACACACTGGTGCCATCTATAGGATAGTATTGTAAACTTGGCGGTCCGGCATATTTTATATTATTCTCGCGCATTATACATTCTTTCTTTTCTCGAAAAACTTCTGTTAACGTTATAAACGACCCTTTCTCATGGGTATTACGCACATTTGGACTCGAAAATTCAGAAAAACTTTCGCTCTTGTGAAATGCAGTTTCAGGGTCACCTGCCGGCGTGCCGGTGCGTTGTCTCGTCCTGACAAATTTTAAGAGGTTTCAACAGGTCTCGTCTCTCCCGGTCGTACTCGTTTGCGAGAGTGTGAACGGGCCTTCAGAACAGATACGTTGCACTTCCATACAAAACTAAAAGACCACCTTATACCTTAGTACAAAAAAAATGCACCCCATTCAAAACTGTTTCTCCATATACATTGTGACCACACGGTTAGTTAGCACGTTTCGCGAACCTGTGTTTTTATCCAGCGGTTGAAATCACATTCGAAGGTTATTTCGTATCAGATTAAACTCCTAACTTATACCAAATCTCCAGGAAGTTCACTGAATCTGCACATTTTAGGTGCAAAGTGCCATAATTACGCAACTCAATATTGCTTGAGATCACCTCAATGTTTGCTTAACCCGAATTAAAAGCTACACTTTTACAGGTATTTCAGTTTTCTGCAATGTTTTTAAGGCAACTTGGTGCTCCTAGTTCTACTATGCACGTTTGTTTTTACGTTTTATAACTGTTACAATAGGCCCGTTTTCGAAGAGTTCCCCTCAAGAAATGTTGTTTCTCACTTAGTTTCCCTTTCATTTTTGGCAACGTTTTAGTAACATCAATAAACGTTGAAAATTGTTGCCAGCCACGTTTCTAACATTAGGCTAAGGTTTTTAGATTATGGCAACATAATGTTACATGAATAGCATTGCAGTTACATTACTTAATGCGACAACGCTCCGCAACATTACCCACATTCCAGTAACGTTGTGGCAGCATTCCGTAATACTCGGGCAAGATCTTAGTTTATTGTTCAAAAAGCTCGTTCCTTTCAAGACAAACTACTCACCAAGCAGTAATCCGCCAAACGACGTTTCACTTCTTCACGGAATGACTCTGTGCGTCCATGGTCCCACTGAAAGATAAAAATGTGAAATGTTACGCACATTGTAACGCATGACAAATGATCACCTGCGTATGTCACGCTTTGATATTTTGGTCACTGAGTTTCAGAAAAGTGCAAGAGCAGTTAATGAGCAGAAGGTAAGGGCTCAAGTGAGCTAGTGTATATCAAACATTTTAGTGAAAAACCCGAGACTGAGGTATTGACAGACGACGTCAAGGAAGAGAAGGAGAACGCCTCAAACACAGCTAAACCTTTATTGACGACCGAACCTTTTATATAGAGTTGAAAAAAAGAAAGAAGGAAAGGGAACATTTCTTCACAGAACCTCTGTCAACAAAAGGTACGACACCGAACCTCTAACAATGGGGTCAAGTCAACACACCAACTGGCGGCACCTAAAATAACACATCATTAACAGAAAAAAAGCGCAGGGAAATTACAGACCGCACTGGACCCTTCACTGAGGGTGTCAGTTATAAGACTACACAAAAAGAGCAAAAAGATTCGGAAAAAAAAAACTTTGTAAGCTAACAATATTACTAGAGATTTATAAACCGCTTTCATTCCGCTTCTAAAGACAGAAAGGGCTTGTTCACTACATTCCTATGCTTGGTTATCGCGATTGACTCTTCCAGCAGGCGCTTTTGGTAGCTTCATTCTGATACAATTGTGGTTGTCGAGTTCCATAATGGCGCGCAATTCCTACATTCCAGAATATGCTTGGATACCTAGGAATATCGATCCTTGTTTATGACACATCGTTTATGTTCGCCTAGTCTATCATTAAGACAACGCTTCGTTTGACCTATATAGCACAAACCATAATCAAAAGGGATCTTGTAGACTATACCTGAAACACATGTAACACACTCTTCGCTGTTTTTGTTTTTTTGTTTTTTAAACAAGCTTTCTGGGCGGAAGCGAACGGAGTCAACCGTTTCAAACTGCTATCTGTGCTAAACGCCATGAGTAAACCAAACTTATCACCGACTGATTTTAGGTAGTGTGAAATCTTATGGAAGAACGGTATGACTACAAACGTGTTGTTATCGGGCATTTTCCTAATTTTTTTCTCTTTTGCAACAATGAACGAAAGCTGCTTGGGAATAAATACTTGAGGATACTTTGCAACATTAAGCCGGGAAAACACAACCTCAAACGACGTAATAATGAAGTGCCAACATGACTTTTGAACCGCGTTGTTAATCATGTTTCGAACCAATCCTGCCTTAACATGCTTTGAATGGCAACTATCAAATGGGAGTACTGGTTTAGCCTTTACTTCGCCATACAACCAACATACCCCGGGGACCAACCTGAGCTGGAGGTCTATTTTCTGAAGTACGTTGTTGACTCGCTTCTCTATAGAAAACTGCAACTCCGGTGCCTCCCTGTACACGGTATTCCCGATAGAACCAGCAAGGGCTGAGTCACGGACACAGACCAATGTCATCCACGCATCTTCTAAGTACTGAGCTCGGGTGATAATTTTTGATCATCTCATGCACTTTTAGGTCTAAGCTCCGGATGTATATTTTTTAAAGGGCCGGGGCCACAGCCGAACCAATATATACGCCTTGACGTTGAATATATTTTTGCTCATCATAATTTGTTACTGTCGATTTTAGATACAGTTGAAGTATCCTTAGAAGATCATTCATCTCTATACCAGACTGCGACTGAAACCGAACTAAGTTCTCCTCTAGAAACGAGCTGGCCCTAGAAAGCAAAATGGCTGGTTGGAGTGAATAGTGCAAATCCTTGATATCCAGGGAGAAAATCGTGCAAAGTTTACCATGAAACGGTTGAATACCTGATATCAAATGCACGGAAGAACCTAATGCTAAGGGGCTTCTGAAATCTAGGGAAGAAAGACCATTCTGTAGGGACGTGGAGACAGTTTTTTTGCCACGTGCCATCTTCGTTGATAACTACTCTCAGAGGAAGGTCAACCTTGAGGTCTTTCAAAAAGAACTTACTGGCAAACGTATCTTTCAAATTACCATTCAGTCTGGCAGCAAAGGACGTAAAGTCACTGTCCTTAAAGGTCCTTACTATTCCCTTCTTGTGTCGGCCCAGACACCCATCAAAAGATCGAAATAACCCAGAAACAGCGAGGTTACATTTCTCCTGAAACTCGCTGGAAGGCAGAACACAAAACAGCCCCGATTTGTCTGTTTCAAGAAGCTTCACCTCGTTTTAGATATTGTTGAGACTACTGTTTTTATTGAGACTAATCTATCCGCGTTATAAAAATAGTACTCACGAGGTGTCTCCGCCACGTAACTACGAATGGAACTATTGACACGACAAAATCTTTGCCACTCAATTTCAGTAGACTTCTTTGTTTAAAAACTGCAGAACTTCTTGGCGCAGATTTTCAACTTAATTTTAATACAAATGGTGTGTTCAAGAAAACTCAGAACTGCCACTGAATTTAAAATAATACGGTGCACCCATGAACTCGTAGTCAAAATTACCCTATGCTTCGTGTTTCAGCTTCAGTCCGAGCGCGGCCGATCTTATGAACCGAAGGGCCAATCAAACAGCGAAGGGGGCACAACGTCATGGCGTGCTCTCTTCAGTTGATAGGACCAGCTGGTATTCGCCGTCTCTCTCTGCGTGCTCCTCCGCCGGCTAGTCTTATCAAGCGCAGAGAGCACGCCATGACGCTGCGCTTTTTGCGGTGTTCGATTGGCCCTTCAGCTCATAACATCTGCCGCGCTCGGTCCGAAGCTGAAACGAAGTATAAGAAAAGCAGATGACCCAAAGCTGAAAAAGGTATATATATGTATATATATATATATATATTGTGAGGGGTGTTTATGAGAGACGCATTTGATGATGCGATGTGGAAAGACCAGAGGGGATCAATGGCGGAACCGCGGTGTAAGATTATACTCGTCAGGTGAGGACAGCGCGCTTCGCACGGTGCAGATAAAGATCGCTTTTCACTCTCTCTTTTTCTCTCTCTCACTGCGGTTTCAAGCGGTGCCGGCAGATGACTCGTCGACCCGTGGGCACGGCAAAGACGGCTTGTGCCACCTCATCCTCCACAGGCGCAGAGCTCTGGCGAGGTTGTCGCTGGTGCAGAAAGACTACGGTGTACCGGGGTGTCATGGCAACGAGATAATTCTATTCACTCTCACACAGTTCGCCGTTTGGCCGCCGGCGACACTGTCAGCCGCGGGCATGGTGGTTGCGGAATAATGCAGCCTTTTGGAAGCATAGAGTTATTATAATGTACGCTAGAGGTTTAACTGGCGCTAGTGTCTATGCGACTTCCGTGACGCAAATTGAAGCAGACAGCAACCAGTCTACTTTTGCGGTGCTCCTGTGCATTCCTATGGGAAAACGCGCGTGCATTTTGTCTCTTCGCCGGAAAATAACATAGAACACTTAGGTTATTTTGGTCGTACCGAATAGTATGTGTCTTAATTAACATTGTAAAAGTGTAATTGCTTTAGTTTGCGCACTTTTCTTCATCAGTGAGCGATGTTTAACTTCGCTGCATTTCAGTCCCAAACGTGTGTTCCGCAGCAGGTGTGTAAAAACAAGCGACGATTCAAAGCAAAATTACGATCGAAACGAACATAGAGTGTGTTCAAGGCTCGCCAGCATTCCGCTGACGCTTGTATATTGATAATATGCCAGTCCTGTCACCATATGAAAATGACCCCATCGTGCATGAGCGGATAAAAACCTTCAACGGAGAGAATAAAGTCCGTGGGATATGAAAGGTGTCTCTTCGTATTGTTTTTTCTGCCGGGCAGCTTTTATCGCGCACTTGTTCTCAAAGATGTCTAGCGCGGGGGTGATATTTTGAACGTAGAACACGCAGCTTCGCTCAGGACAGAAAGAATAAAGCGGTACTCACTTATTTAAAATCGAAATAGATTACGTGGCCTTCAATTTATTTTGATCGTACATGCACTGCAAGTTACTGATCCGGTGTTGCTGCGTAGTTCTTGCCGCCGCTCTTGATTTTCCAGATGTCCTTCGTTCGTTTGGCATGTATATCCCCCATGCTGGAAATCGCCGACGCCGCGTTCGCGCTAACAGTGTCCGACAGTGCACATAAATACACGTACGAAGCCGTTTTAGCACCGTTTTTAGTGCGATGAATTCGAGAGAAAAACGCCGTAACTGACCAATTCTTTCGTCGGCCTGACTGAGAAATGTTCCAAACTACCTAGTACGTACGAATTATTTGGGATATTTGCTCTTATGATCAAGCGCAGGGAGAAAATGCACTCACTTTTCCCCATAGAAATGCATTACCGGAAGTCAATTTTCGACTGGTTGCTGTCTGCTTCAATTTGCGTCAGCACACTAGCGCCACTTGAACCTCTAGTGTACATTATAATAACTCTATGTTCGGAAGCCCGTCGAACGAACACTATCTCATTCCTCGCGCCACGCGTTCAGCCCCGCCGTGTCCTCACCTGAACAGCCGAATCATTCCCAGCTCGTGCGGAAAAAACATGCTGCGCGCGCCCCTATTTCCCAAAGGTGTGTGTCGTCGTCTTCGTAACAGCAAAGTAACAGTTCCCCCGGTCACGGCCACTCGATCCCCCCTGTTGGTGCGGCCTGCCGATGTCTTTCCGAAAACAAAAGAGCGCGCGTGAGAGGAGAACTCTCCTATTTTCCGTGGGGGCGCTGCACGTCGGTGAGCGGTCTTGTGAGCTGAAAGCTATACTCTGTTTCACCTTATGTTGTACCGAAGGAAAGGCTGTAAGCGCGAGCTCCTTGCTCTGGGGCAGATCTCGGCGGCGCAAGCTCTCGTGCAGTAAGGGCAGCTGTCAACGCTATGAGCTCGCGCTTCCAGCCTTCGCTGCGGTACAACATGAGGTGAAACGGAGTATAGAGCCCAACGCGCTCTTGCGCCGCTACCCAGATAAAATACCTGCCTGTCATTGGCTTCGCCGATACCGAGGCGCTGCCGCGGTTTGCAGAAGGCAGCAAAATTCGCTTCCCCCCCCCCCCCCCCCCTATGCACCGCTGTGCTC